TTTGTTTATGTTGTATACATGTTAATCAGCAGTTATACAATCTGTAAGTAACTTGTATATTATGTAGTCGATTACTTAAAATGTATCTTTTTCTTGTTAGACACTAGGAATATGTAGTACAATTTACTGATGTAAATGTAACCTCTTAAGGTAGCGAGTTTAGACCACTGATAAATATGTATCCTGAATTTTTTTTTTCTTTCTTTTTCTTTTCATTGTTTGATTTTATTTCTTCATCGATTGTGTCTTTTAATGTGTGTTGTGTTTCAGGTAACAAGGGTTAAAACCGTCTATTGTGATACATACATGAATGTCCTATTTGTTCTGTTTGTTGGTTTGAAAGTATAAAGGAGCAACTTAAACCTATTTTATGTTAGAATAATTTTCTTCTCCTTTGTTTCAAGACCTAACTAAAACAGAGGGAGTGATTCTTGGGAGGTGCTCATAAGATTATGCACCACCATCAGAGTTGGAACAATAAATAGCTAATTAACCGTTAGACGAGAAGGACCTATCAGCGCTCTGGCTCCTCCTCCAAAAGGTAGAGCCTACAGCTGAACAAAACCTGAGTGCACAGCAGTTTCAAATAGTTCTGCGTTCAAAGAAGAAGCTAGTAAGTTTTAAGTTTGTGCCATCCTTGGTCAGAAAGATTAGAATGCTAAAATTTCAGATCTGAAACCTTTGTCTGTCTTTGTAACTTGTCTGTCCATTTGTACAGTTTAAGTTTAAACTACCCATAGAGAAGGAAGGTGAATAGGTTTCTTATCTGGCCAGTGAGGGCTTATTCACATTTTTAGCTCAGCCAAAGAAGAGATAGTTAAATTAGTATCACCAGCCTCAGAACACTGACTGCAATCCAAACCTCGCCAGCAGAGTTAGAGCAGCTCTGACATCACAGAGACCCGGCATCGCACCCAGAGCCAGGCATTAATCTGTGAGCAGATTGACCATCGAAAGACTGCCCAGGCTCCGCCCTCAAGCAGACTCAAGATGCCTCTGCCAGTTGCTGACTGAAAGGGGGTTCGCCTGTACGGCTATCCCAATGGAGAAGAGACCCCAATACGTGAGCTCCAGCCGTCGATCGAGCTGGTCCCGAGCAACCCCTCCTGAAGTCAGCTTCCTCTACTGCAATGTAAGACTGGCTCCTTACATTTTGTACTCCGCATTCTGATGCTAATTTAATTAATAAGAAAACTCTTTATATATATATATATATATATATATATATATATATATATATATATATATATATATATATATATATATATTCACTCATATAGTTATCCACGACCATATTTAGGTTAATTCTCTAGAGGTTCTTTCATATCTAAGTTTCAAGCTGCTTCCCCAAGAAATCACACTGCCTCATACTGTTTAGCTGTGAATCATGTTACTTGAGCTATTTGTTTCTTTTGACTATTATTTTTATTATTTTTATTTTCTTTCGTTTATCATTGGAAATAATTCGAATTGTGGTTTGATAATTAGCCAATAAATTCCCTTTTTATTGAACTAACAGAGAACTAGAGAGGACTTATGAAACAGCTTTAAACAGCTTTACATATGCTGGGAAATTGGGGTTCACATTCCATTTAGAAGTGTGTTGGTGCATACCCCAATAGTCAGTTTTATTTTTTTTTTTAGAGCAAGAGAGAGATTGACAGCTTGACAGAGGATGCCATTTCCACAGCTCTTCATTCTGCTCTCACCCACCTAGAAATCAGAACACATACATTCAGATGCTGTTCATTGACTTCAGCTCTACTTTCAATACAGTCATCCCCACCAGGCTGGTCACCAAGCTCAGTGATCTGGGAATCACCACCCCCCTGTGTAATTGGGTCTTGGACTTCCTGACAAAAAGACCCCAGTCTGTGAGATTGGGCAGTCATATGCCCTCCACCCTCACCCTGAACAGCGGTGTCCCAAGGCTGTGTACTGTGTCCTCTGCTCTTCTCCCTGTTTACCAAAGACTGCGTTCCTCTGCACACATCAAACATCATTATTAAATTTGCAGACGATGCCACAGCGACAATGATGAATCGGCCTACAGGGAGGAGATCCAGCACCTGGCTGCCTGGTGTATCTGCAACAACCTCTCCCTCAACACAGACAAAACCAAGGAGCTCATTGTGGACTACCAAGAAAACCAAAGCCACACACACTCCTGTCCAAATCAACGGTTCTAAGGTAGAGCGTGTCTTCAAGTTCCTGGGAGTACACATCTCCGAAGATCTTTCATGGACACTCAACACCTGACACTTGGTTAAGAAGGCACAGCAATGCCTCTACTTCCTGAGGAGAATAAAGAAGGAACATCTGTCTCCTCAGATTCTCACAAACTTCTACTGCTGCACCATCGAAAGCGTACTGACCAACTGTGTGATACAACAGCTCCACTGTGGCCGACAGGAAGACCCTCCAAAAAGTGGTAAAGACTGCTGAGCGCATCACTGGCACACAGCTGCCTGCCATCAGAGACATTCACCACCAGCGCTGTGAGTGCAGCATCATCAAGGACTCCTCCCACCCCAACCACACACTGTTTAAACTCCTCCCATCCAGGAGGAGATACAGAAGCATTCGGACCAGGACCAGTCGGCTCATGTCCAGCTTCTTTCCCTCCACCATCACCCTTCTGAACTCCACACCACTCCACTAATACTCATACTTGTATGTTGCACACAATTTATTTATTATTATCTTTAGCATTTACATACAACAGACTGTTCACTGCATATTGAATACAACACACATAACCACTTACTCTAGCAGTATGTAACATACCATATGTATTGTGTTTATAGTATTTTGCGTTTATGTATATATATATTATGTATGTATATATTATGTATATATATATATATGTATATATATTAATAGATATATTTGTAATTGTGTATATATATATTTGTCTATTTGAGATGCACATTTGAGATTTCAGTACTGAAAAACTTATACAGAGGCTCTATAGAGATGTGGGTAAAAATGTGAAAAGATGAGTTGTCCTTCACCATTTTCTGTGCACATGCATGGCATGGCAAGAGAATGTTACAGGCCTGAATGCTTGACCCCGACAGTGAAGGGGGGTCTGGTGTCTCCAACATATCTTAGAGACTTGTATAATCTGTGTTCTTGTGTTCTTGACCACTGTGGAGAGCATAGCTGAAGAGAGATGTCTTCTTGTGATTTCTTCTCTTTTGTAGAAAAGCAACAGTGATGATATGAAATAAACTGTGTGTAGTTTGTGTCTCTCAGGCCTGTAATGTTCCCACCAAGCTCTCTGAATGTGTCTGTGCTTTTTTGTAACACTTGTGCTTTTGGGAGTTCAGCCAACATGTTGCCCTAAAAACTCTTAAGAACAGACAGGTAAAACTATATTATTATTAAATGTGTGATTAATTACTGAGATGCTGTCTATTAGAATGTTAATGAGCAAACCATGTCGATAGAATCCTAGAAATTTCTAGAATGTTCCACATAAACTTAATTTTCCTTATTTGGTTTGTTATGCAGTTGTAAGACATTATAAACCCATGTGTGGTGTTCATGTTTTTGTTACTCAGTGGTCCACTAACCACAAAATTATTTGTTAAATCATAACCATAACGATTTATGTAAAAATACCAGATGTTCAAAATATTACAAGTGGCCAGTGTAGGGTTCTCCTTTAGCAGCTGTAGCCAGTCAGCAGCCTATCCATGTTGCCCACCCACACACACACGCATACTTATATACAAACACATAGACACACAGACACACACACACACTAACAGCAGGTCATGTAGGAGGAGAACAGAGTGAAGGACACAGCACCTCCACACTTTTATTCCCTGCAGGTTCACCCCAACACCACATGTGTAATATAAATGTATAGGAGATGAACAGTGTGAAGTCATTGAAAATGTGTTTTTTTTTTTTTGTTTTACACAGAAAATGAGCAAAGACCAAGGAATCTGAGGTTGAAATAATAATAAATCGCAGCATTTTTTTATTTTGATAAACATGAAAATGGGTCCCACAGACCCCAAAACCACACAAGGGTTAAGCTTTTCCACATCTGTTTCTGACTTGTAATGAAGAGAAGCACAGAAAAAAGCCAGTAGTACCAGGAAGAAAGCAATAATAATATGCAATAATATACAAGAAACAATCAAACTGAGCTATCAATTTTATACGACCAACTTGCACTGAAGGCATCACAGGTTTTTTCAGATGTCTACTGTTAACAGCACATACGATCTCTGTAACCTCTGCAGTTGAACACTGGTCAAACAATTGAAGGAGAGATGCAAAAAGATGTGATTGTAATGTGCTTTTGAGCAAAAATTCAAGCAGAAATGACAGGCAAATTACAGGCAGCAGAAGTACTCACATTACATCACACTCAAGTACAACATTAGCTGTTGCAACACCACCAGTTAACCAGCAAAGGGCACCATGAGAGAACTCAGGCCTAAACATAGCGCATGATGTCATTTCTGTGGCTGTAATATCCACTGCACACATTCTTTTCTGGTGTTTCATGTCTGATCACCACTTGAATTATAAATAATTCTATAAGCAAATGGTGTTGGTGAAATGGTGAAGGGTAGCCTCTCTTTATGGTCTGTAGGAACAAAATAAAGGAACAAATCTATGTAAAGACACTGATCGTCAGTCCTGTATGGAGAGGAAATGTTTTCATATATACTTTGCAAAATATGTGTCATTATAATTATAAAATGTATCTACATATATTTTTGGTATGTGTACATTAAAATTGACACCATTATATATGTCTAATCTTCACATACATGCAGAAATATATTGCACATATTTTTGAATTTTCTAATGTCAAATTAATAATAATCTTTTTTTAATACCCTATATTAAAATATTATCTGATATTATGTTTTTCAGTGCAATACAGTCTAGACAGAAACAGCTGGGTAGGAGGGGTCTCCTCCAGTCCTTTTATTCCCTCCCTCCACTGGCTGCTATTAAAGATCAGTATCAAATCTCAGCAGAACACACTCATTCTGAAAGTGAAAGTTTGAGGCTAGAGGGCAAAAGGAGATGCAAGGATCACTTCACCTCACTCTATCTAGGATACCAGTAGCGTTCACTCTTCACTGTAAGTACTCTTTATCTTTCTCTCTCGCTCTGCAGAGAACACAAACAGGCTGTTAGTCAATAGCAGTACTATTAGCAAGCGTTCTGTTGAATGTTTGTGCCATGTTAGTTTCAGGTATGCCATCTTTTTTTTAACGAAAAACAGGAATTTCAGAACTGAAATGGAAAATAATATATACTGTTGTTTTATTTATAAGTGCAGTGACACTGATAGACAACATTATAATATTTTGCACTTATTTTTATTCATTTGCAACATGCTTGGTCGGTCATTCTCCAATTACACTGTCCTAAAACAGTCTTTGTAAACGATGTAATGTGACATTGTGTCTTTAGTTTAGGCACACAGTTTTAATATAAGTGCTCATCAGTTGTCCCTGTAAAAAAAACAAACAAGCAAGCAAACGAAAAAATGTTTTAAAAGCTCAGATTGTCCCATAGTGTGAAGAAAGTGATCAGTATGAACTTCACTTCAGCTGAGGAATCTACAAGGAACTTTGTATGATAATAATTTTAAAAAGTATGTATGTATGTAGATCAAACATCTTTTAAAGAAATCAGTAAACACAAATCAGCTTGACATAATGTAATCCATTGAGCTGAGATCATATTTTAAACATAAATCTGGTTGGTTGTATTTGCTTTCCACTTTTGGACTGTAATCTAATTACATGTTAACATGCAGCTCCAGAATGGCTGAGGCTGTGGACCGACTGTGCCTGCTCCAGTTTGTGCTGATCCAAGCCCTGCTTCTCACAGTCTGTTCCAGTGAAAGTAACGAAAGTCAGTTCACTTATGTTAAAATGTGTGTGTGTGTGTGTGTGTGTATGTATATGTGTGTGTGTGTGTGTGTGTGTGTGTGTGTGTGCGTGTGCGTGTGTTTAATGAAATATTGCAATGTATTTATTGTTTATTTTTCTTTTATTTTGTTTTGCTTTTCTAGATTATGTCAAATGTCAGGACATAAATGGAACAGTTGGGAAACCATTAAATCTGACCTGCAAAATTACAGATGATCAAAACTGCAAGTGTACCCTATACAAATGGAAAAAGAATGGAACTGAACTAAAAAAAGACACTGATTGTGAAAAGAATCTCACATTGAATTACACAATTCAGAACCCATCCATGGAAGACAATGGGACATTTATATTTTGGGTACAACTGAAATGTGGATGGTTTGAACAGAATCTCAGTGTGATCTTATCAGGTATGTTTCTTTTGTCAGTAGAAAAGTAACATACTGTCAAATTGATCAATTATTTATTTATTAAATTTTAAATGCACACTGTTAAATTTATCTCAATCTGACTCTTTTCACAGAGGAGGTCACTACTGCATCACCAGGTACAGTAATTCTTCCTCTTCTATTCCACTGAGTTTATTCACATAAGAAAAAAAAAATCATCATACATGTTTACAGTGAATGGACCAGTGAATGTATTTTATCAGGATTATTTAAACATGTTGGACTCAAAAGGAAGGAAAGAAATAACATAAAAACATGTCTGTGATGTCTCTGATAACATCAATGACTATTTCTTTGTCACTTAAATAGACTTAATACACAATGTGGCACACATATTTTGGATGTGAAAAAAATATGTATACATATATTTAAATTTGTTTAGAATTTTGGTGCTGAAATGTTTCATATACTGAAATATATTGGCATATATTTGGAATTTGAAGAAATATATGTACATACGTTTTTCAACATTTGCCTTTTGGTGCTAAGACATCATATATATTGCCATATATTGCACATATATTTTGGATGTGATGAACTACATGTTCATAAATTTTTGTTTTGTGTGGGCCAACCGTGCGTCGCTAAACAGACTATTTGTCAATGTGAATGTGCAAGAGGGAAATAGTACAACTGTAGTACACACTGTTAAATTTAATTCAGTCTGACTCTTTTCACAGGGAAGGTCACTGCTGCACCACTATCAGGTACACTGTTCTATTCCTTTATATACCACTGAGTTTATTCGCGTAAGAAAAAACCTCATTTTACATATTTACAGTGAATGGATTTCATTAGAACAATTTAAATGTAGCATCACCTGTGTTACAGTTAGTAAATAATCCACACAACGAAAGTTTTGAATAGATAAATACATGCATAAACAAGCTGTAAATATCCTGCTGACCATCCAGACTTTCATTCCTCACTTCTATGACTAAAGAATAACAGCTAATTTATATTGCTTTCCATGTAGTTTCTGAAGAATACGCCAATGGATGTAACAAGCCTGAGATGTCAAGGGGTTAATCTTAGCTTTTGCCACTGTTAATGTAACTGTTAATGTAACTGTTAATATAACTGTTAATGTAACTGTTACTTTGTCTTCACAGCATAAATTATCTGCCCATTATTTTTTCATTATGTTACATTTGGAGAGACTGCTGTGACTTTTTCTTTACATTAATGATGTAATAATGTTGTCTTTACCTCTCTTTTCTTTTCTTCTTTTTTACAGATGTCAGCAACAGTCCTCGTAATCATCAAGTGGCTGTCATTTTTGTGGCTATCCCGACCATCTTAGGCCTCATTGTTTTGACGATGTTTTGCAGAAACCATAAAACAAAGGTTTCTCAGAGACTAAACTTTGACCTCTGAAAGAAACAAAACACATCGCAAGAAATAGTGTGACTAGCTGTCTCAGCAGTGCCAGTGTTTTTCTTCACAGCTGATGAGAGAGGGACAGAAAATAAGGAGGTGATATACTGAAAAGATGGGGACAGTTTTATGTAAAAAATGTCACTGGCAGGTTTTCAGTGGGGCAGATTTTAGTTTTGTGAAATGTTTATATATATGTAACAAATGTAATTATGTATTTTTCTGTCTCGCACATTTTATATCTGATTTCTGTGAAAGAACATTATATTACTGACACAGTGTGGTCACTGAATAAATTAGCTAAATGAGGGCCAATTTTTAATCAGGCTACTCTCTACTGTGACCACTGAAGTTATGTGTTTCTGTTTGTAAGGTCTTATCAGTGCTGAACCATCTAGATAGATTTTCGACATAAATTGTTCACTGTTATACATCACTAATCTACTGTGTGTTGGGACATATGATGGGAACAAACTATCGAGTGGTACTAAAGGGTTGAATTAGGCTTATAATTTTTTTTTAGCTTCATATTCTATTTTGTTATGTATGTTTGATGTACAGATACTATGGAGTTTATGGATAAACACAGATATATTACTTAAAGTACTACTAAGAGTTTCTATATATAAACAACTGTAAACTATATGTATGATTGTAATTTTGGCTGGAATTTTAAAGAAAAGCTTTTTTTTTTCCTCAGGCTTCATGAGCACTGATTATAGTAAGAAGCTGAAAAGTTTGCTTGGTTTATGTCTTCTTTTATGGAGTAAATATATATTTTTGCTAATATATATATATATATATATATATATATATATATAATATATATCATATATTACAGAGCCCCACTGTTGACATCCTGCATAAATACAAATAATGCGTCAAAAACAGAAGTTTCGCCAATAGTGCTGTTCTTAAAGTCCTCTGCACATTTCCCCTTCCCCTTCTCATTTCTTCTGTACGTCTCCTCTCTAGTGTAGATTTTATTAGTAGTTTTTATATATTTTAAAAGCTGATAAACATTTTTAGAGGTCTGCAGGGTGACCTGAACCTGATGGGGTCATTAAAAATTTTGTATGTACAGCATCAGGCTCGGGTTGGGCTGGTTGTCAAAATGAGTGATTTATTTGTACACTGTAAAAACAGATTTGGAGTTTGATTTCCAAAATGCACATTTAAAATCTGTTTCAGTTAGGCCTTGTATGCAGGATCATAATCTGGGTAGTCTAAAGGTGGACCAGGACCAGATTACAGTCAGCATGGTGCTGATCAAGATAACGGATCAATATGTGCTTGCTGTGTGGGATACTTTAAATAATGGGTTAACGATTATGAGTAAGCTTATGTAATTTGCTCTGTTTGATATTCTATTTTGTTGTATGTGTTTGATGTACAGTTTTTTGATCAACATAGATAAACCCGTAAGTAGTACTAAGAGATTCTGTGTTGAAGCAACTGTAAACTATAAGTATGAATGTGGTTTTGGCTGGAATTTGAAAGAAAGGCTTCGGTTTCTTTTTTGTCTTCATAATCTGACATAAAACAGATCTGATGTTGACAAAACCTGTGCATAATAAATGTTATCCAAGAGGACCAATCACCAAGCCTTGTGGGACACCAGTGGAGAGTCTGCATGGTGTAATTCCTCACATCCAAATACCCCAAAAGTTACTGCTTCTTCCTCCTGATCCTGCTCCTCTCCCTACTGATCCAGAAATTCATTTCTAAGATGCCGTCTCACAGCGAAAGAACAGGAAAAGAGAGAAAATGTCTAATTTGTAGATACAAACAAAGTGTGCCTGATAAACTGGCAACTCAGTATATAATACTTTGTATATTCATGCAAGTGCTCAACATAACATACAGTACTGTGCAAAAGGCAGTGACCACCCTTCATTTGCTTAGTAACCAATCAAAATACGCATGTAGTACAAGTTATTCCTTCTTCAGTGTCAGGAAAACAGCAGAGAACAAATATTTAACAGACAATTACACAGAAGCAGCTAAATGTAATTTTTTTTTTTCAATATTTTTCAAACAAATGTGCAGGGATGTCTTTCCACTTCTCTAAAGTTCAGTCTTCAAAGTCTAAACTTTGCTTTTTCTGCTTCCCATGATCCAAATAGTCTCAAACATGTTCCCTGGTGTTGAGGTCTGGAGACTTGAGGGGTCTTTCCATTGTTCTTAGAACACCAACAGCTTTTTTCTTTGATTTATATTTTTTTCTTTTTTGTCTGTTTCCTTTTTCTTGACAGCTACACATTTTTTCAGACTCACAGTGTTGTGTTGTCTTCTCCCAGTGGAAGGACGGACAGAAACACTGAAGATCTGAAGCAAGAGTGAAGCTTGATTTTAATCTCTATCAAAGACCAAAGCTTTAAGCTCTGTTTTTCCGATGCCAATAATATTGGTTGTCTACCAGGTTTTATTAGGAGTCACAATTTCTTTCAGTGTTATAGACATTTGTTTAATTCCAGTTTTCTTTGATTCTCCCAAAAGATTAATAACTTGTTCTTGTTTTTTGTCCATTTCCAAGTGCGTATTGATCCTTAATGGCTGTTTTGCCTGGAATTTGAAAAAAAAAAAGACTGGTCTCTGACTTCTGCACAGTACTTTTTATTTGTTGGCAGGCTGCTTTCCCAAAATGCTTCAAATAAGCCACCAGCCAAAGCCCTAATGACTACCACCCAGTTGTGCTAACCCCAAATGTCAAGAAGTGCTTTGACCACCTGGTTATGGCACACATTAAGCAATCCATTCCATCAACACTGAACCCCCTCCAATATGCCTACAGGCAATACTACTCCACTGAGGACACCATATCCATTGCCATTCACCTGGTATTATCACACTTGGGCAACAAGGACACTTATGTTAGAATTGTTTATCAACTTTAGCTCAGCATTCAACACCATCATAAACAAGAAGCTAGTTAGCAAACAGACAGTCAGTGGGGTAATCAGAACAGATTACCCCACTCCATCACTTTGAACACTGGAGCCCCCCAGGGCTGTGTACTGAGTCTTCTGCTGTACTCCCTGCTCACTCACAACCACATTACAAACATCAGATCAATCACATAGAGTTTGCTGATAACACTACAGCTATCGGGCTCATCTCCAACAATGATGAGACGACCTACTGAGAGTGAGGCTTGTCTTAAAAGGCAAGAATGGCCGATTTGGAGAACTGACAGAGAACTAGAGAGGACTTATAAAACAGCTTTAAACAGATTCTTAAATATGATGGGAAGTTGGGATTCACATTTCATTTAGAAGTGTGTTGGTGCAGGCACCATTAGTCAGTGTGTTTTTGTTGTTGTTTTTTTTTTGTTTGTTTGGTTTTTTTTTAAGAGAGAGAGAGAGAGAGAGAGAGAGAGAGAGAAGCTGCCTGTTAGTTCTTTATTGTGACGATGCAACAGAATTCAGACGCTTGCGGAAAAAAAATGTACACCAGGCTTTATTCGAGTGCGACAAAGAAGAGGTCAAAAAACATGCGTGGGTCGTAGCCAGAAAGCAGTACAATATCACCGAAGTGATCATAACCAAACCAAACACCAAGGGAGAGATCTGATATCGTAGTCAAAAAACCAGGCCAAAAAGTCAAAACACGTATCCAAAAACAGTCAGCAAAAGTACAAGAAGGGACAGGCAAAATCAAGGTCAGTGAAACAAAACGTAGGTCATAACAGGTAGTGGCAAACAGATAATAGAAACGCTCAGCAAGTTCAAGAAGAAACAATACGACTAAGACTAAAGCCCAGGCTTATAAACTATACTAAATGGGTCATATGACAATAAACACAGGTGAATGTATTTAGTACTCCGGTGAATGAGAGCGCTGATAGGTGCGTGCACAACCCTCCAAAGTCATATGATCTCCCGAGGGGTTGTGGGCAATGGAGTCCCTTCTGGACTCTGCGTCAGAGGGAAGTTGCTCAGTTACATGATCTACTAAGGTATTGTGGGAAATGTAGTCTGAGTCCTCCTGAGGCGTGACATTTGTGCTGTGAAGCCTTGTCTTGACGCTCCTGCCTTCTACTCACTTAATGTTTAGTGTAGTTTGAGTTCATTTCACAGGCATGTGAGGGGACACCTACAAAAATGTAACATTAGAATGTTTTCCCTGTTGAGCAACACTTATCTAGGCTCATCAAGACATTAGAAGGCCACTATCTGTTGGAATGTATGTGCCTGTGAAATGTCATTTTTAAAACAAAGAAAAAAAATGATTTGTAAAACAGTCGACTATGTATTTGCTTTTCACTTTCACTTATTTTATTGACCGTAATCTAATGAAAATGTTTACATGCATTTCCAGAGCAACTTTTCATATGACATCATCTGTACAGAGAGTACTATGCTGTGTAAAACTTAAAGATAGCTAAACAGGATGTTTTCAGGCTCTTTACAGCCGTTTGCTCTAAAGATGGTATTATATAAATCAGTTTCTGGGTCATAAAGGAGAGGAGCTGGATCAGGAAGAGGAAACAATATCTTCTGGTGTATTTGGATATATCCATGGAGAGGATCCACAGGGGCTCCATGCAGACTCTCTGCTGGCATCCCACAAGGCTCAGTGCTTGGTCCGCTACTCTTTTCCTTCTATATCTACTCTCTTGAATCACTACAGTTAGCACATAACACTAATACTACTGGAGCTAGCCAATGAAACAGAAATGAATGTCTTAAGATGTCTTTGTCTGAGGGGGTTAAGTTGTCTAAGGTCTGAGATTCTAACTTTTAATCTAAATAAATCCTCTCAAATCAAATGGATATTCCTCCCTCCATAACTCCCATATTCATATATTTAAAAATACTTGTACAATATAAATATGCATTGATATAAATGTGGATTAATATACACGCACAGATCACTATTTAATGTTTTTTTAAATATCATCTTACCTGAAAAATGATGGAATAAATCCTGATAATGCAGTCACTCAGATAAAATTCAAAGTAAGTAAGAGTCAACCATTCAGTAAATGTGTTTATATTAGCCGTGGCTCCATCAAGGAACAATCAATCAATCTATCTATCTATCTATCTATCTATCTATCTATCTATCTATCTAGATGCAAGGAAAAAAGGCTGTGGTTCTGAGTCCTGGGGAAAACTATATGCAAGAAATAATCAAATCCAACTATCAACTGTATGTGACCAACTTGCACTTTTGTAAGGCTTCACAGATTTTGTCAAATGCAAAATGCTAACTCCATCTATGATCTCTGTAATCTCTGCTGTTGAACATTGTATTAACAATCAGAGAATAGACACCAAAATATGTAAATGTTATGTGCTTTGTGCTTTTAAGCGTTTAGGCAAAATAACAGTAAAGATTACAGTTGTAAAGTCAAATTTTGTTTACTCAGGCTGATTTATTATTTAAATAATTATTTACAAAACTGGCTGC